ATGCCAAGAAAGTAGGACCCTTCCTCAGATCGGGTTTTGCACTGAAATACGGAATGGGTAAGAACTATAGATGGACAAGAAAGAGGTGTCAAAAATATTAATGTCTATTACTCAAGCAGAAGTACAGGTTGGACAATGAAACTTAAACACCTGGTTTTAGACCCCAATAATTTATTTGTATAGTGTAGGGCCTCCTTTTGCGGCCAATACAGCATCCATTCGTCTTGGGAATGACATATTCAAGTCCTGCACAGTGGTCAGAGGGATTTTATGCCATTCTTCGTGCAGAATAGTGGCCAGGTTACGACATGATGCTGGTGTAGAAAAATGTTTCCTGACTTGCACCTCCAAACACCCCAAAGTGGCTCAATAATATTTAGATCTTGGGACTGTACAGGCCACGGGAGATGTTCAACTTCACTTTCATGTTCATCAAACCAAATTTTCACCAGTCTTGCTGTGTGTATTGGTGCATTGTATCCTGATACACGGCACCTGCTTCAGGATACAATGTTTGAACCATTGGATGCACATGGTCCTCCAGAATGGTTCGGTAGTCCTTGGCAGTGAAGCGCCCATCTAGCACAAGTATGGGGCCAAGGGAATACCATGATATGGCAGCCCAAACCCTCACTGATCCACCCCCATCATTCACTCTGGGCATGCAGCAGTCTGGGTGGTACGCTTCTTTGGGGCTTCTCCACACCGTAACTCTGCCAGATGTGGGGAAAACAGTAAAGGTGCACTTATCAGAGAACAATACATGTTTCACATTGTCCACAGCCCAAGATTTGCGCTCCTTGCACCATTAAAACCGACATTTGACATTGGCACGAGTGACCAAAGGTTTGGCTATAGCAGCCCAGCCGTGTATATATTGACCTTGTGGAGCTCCCGACGGACAGTTTTGGTGGAAACAGAGAGTTGAGGTGCACATTTAATTCTGCCGTGATTTGGGCAGAGGTGTTTTTTTTTTTGGATGTTATCCGGGTTAGCACCCGAACATCCCTTTCAGACAGCTTCCTCTTGCATCCACAGTTAATCCTGTTGGATGTGGTTCGTCCTTCTTTGTGGTATGCTGACATTACCCTGGATACCGTGGCTCTTGATACATCACAAAGACTTGCTGTCTTGGTCACAGATGCGCCAGCAAGACTTGCACCAACAATTTGTCCTTTTGAACTCTGGTATGTCACCCATAATGTTGTGCGCATTGCAATATTTTGAGCAAAACTGTGTTCTTACCCTGCTAATTGGACCTTCACACTCCGCTCTTATTGGTTCAATGTGAATTAATGAAGATTGGCCACCAGGCTGGTCCAATTTAGCCATGAAACCTTCCACACTAAAATTAGTGGTGTTTCAGTTTCATTGTCCAACCCCCTGTATAAAGTCTACTGTTTGAAAACACTTTTGTAGAAGTTAGAGTATAAACTTAAGCTTTTTACTGAAGTAAATGTGTAAGAGTACAATATATAAAACTACTTAAAGTATAAAATTAAAAGTAATGCATGAAAAAAATGTTAAGGACATAAGCTTTAAACCTTACACTGGTTACTGCATTACTGTATTAAAGGAAAAATGTTCTACAACCCTGGATGATAACTTCCTTATACTTAATTTTCTTAGTTTTATAACTAAGGGCAACAGTGTCAAATTTAACTTTGCATCACCTTGAAAAAAACATTTATTTTGGTATATAGTGAACAATAAGTTGGTGCAGCTGCAAGTCCAACCACAAAGAAATTGTCTGGAAGAATCAAATAATTTTTATGTTTTTTACTTTTTAAATACCAACGGGAAAGTGCGATTATAATAAACAAAACTATTGGGTCTATTCTTGAATTGTAAGGAGTAGAGAGAGAGAGGAGGATTAGCTCTACGCCTGAAGACACAGACGTCCATCCCAGTGAACACTGGGATGGAACTCAGTGGTAAAGTAAAATTATTCTTATTTCAACCTTTGCGTATATTAGCTGCAACATATGAATCATATGAAGCTATGACCGAAAAAAATTTGATTGACAGATGACCGTTGATATATGATTGGCCGAATTTAGGTGTACAAGCTGACTCACCGGCCTGCATAAAATAATGAAAATAAAACCACAGATTTTAAGACAGGATTTTTTTTTTTATTGAACTTTTCTAACTTTTAGAACAATATGGTCTGATAAAGAGTACATTTATATACATGTTTAAGCCAGAATGATTTGAAATTTAAATATGACTTCCCTACGACTTTAAGCTCTCACCTGCTATTACCAATTTCTCAATAAAACTATAGAAAAGAATATTTCTTTCTAAATTGAAAATGAACTTACCTAATTTAAAAAAGCTAACAAAATGATGTGACACTGATTTGCACAATACTAGTCATAAAACAAATATAATGCAATTTTATGTTTATTAGTTTATTTGCACAAAATTAACAATTGATTTTTTTATTTCTTTTTTTTCTTCAAAGTTTCTATTTCCTATATTCAACAACTGATTATGTATTGACTTTTAGCAATATATGTATATATTTCTTATACTTACTGTGATTTTTTTTAAGTAATAGACTTATTCATCTATTTGTTATTATTTTTATTATTATTTTAAATTTTTGTTACAAGTTATCTTCAATTATGTTTATAAGGTTTAAAGAATGTCAGTGAATGTCATTGCAGGTATTAATAAAAACTGCTTTGTTGAGTCAGTTAGTACCTATATAGCAGACATAAATGTCTTTTAGCATTCTTGGTTTAAAAAAAAAAAAAAAAAAAGATAATCTGTCTTTACAAAGCTACACTTCATTTTTAATGACAATTGAAAGAGCTCTGACTCTAAAGCCTTTCTTAAAGCTGGATTGTATATTGGGTGGTTCAAATACTATGCTGTCTGCAGGAGCTTCCCTCTTGGAGCGCTTGATGACTGATTTCCCGCTGTACCAAAAGAATGAGGGTGTCTACAACAACCTCTATGTGACAAAATTACTGCGTAACTATAGGTGAGGTAGAACATGTTTAATGTTTTTCATCAGCAGAATCTACGTGTTCATGTTTTCAGAATACAACTTCTTTATCTTCTCTTTCAGGTCTCATCCTGCCATTCTCAAGATTCCCAATGAGCTTTTCTATGATGGAGAACTTCAGGCTTGTGCTGAAGAATATTCACGCAAGTTGTACTGCAATTGGGAACACCTTCCAAAGCAGGTATTGATTCACTGGTGTTACTGTAGGATAGTTGTATGCAGAGGAGGGTAGTAGTTAGTGACATTTCCTCAGTTACATTTCTTGATAGCTTTTTGGAAATATAAAATACTTTCAGGAGTAGTTTTACAGCATTGTACTTTACTTTTTCTTGAGTAAAAACATGATGAAGTATCCCTACTCCTACTTGAGTAGAATTTCTGGCTAATCTATCTATTGTAATTCAATTAAGGCAAACAAGCTTGTTTTAAACTAATATGCACCATTTTTTGTACTTAGTGCTTATTATTTAAATGTTAATTCCCATATACAGAGTCTGCAGTGTCATTTGGAGGTTGAATGAAAATACAGTAAATAGTATACTCTATTTTAACATACTCTTACATACTATTACTATTGAATTTTGAAGATTTATAACTCAAAACATGGATTTTGAATAGTGTCAATTCTATCTGTTTTTGTTGTGTAATTACTGTATGTTATGTTTTTTTATGAATATACACCAGAATTTGTTTTTAATTGATTTCAAATCATTTTGTAAAATATTAAATCGGTTGTGATCATTGGTATAAATTAGATCAATTACTCAGTATTTGAGTATCCTCTTCCTGCACAAAGCCAGTAGTACTGGCAATCACCTATCTGGTGGCACAGGTTTTGGTTCACTGACTGTTTTCCTTAGCTAAGAATTGGCTAGAGTTGCTGGACTTTCAGGATCCATTTCCCCTGATGCTTCTTGGTAAATTTGCAATTGAAAAAGGACTATATATTTATTTATTTATAATTAGCCCCATTAGTCTCTTCAAGACTAGACCACTCTTCCTGTGTCTACTGTGAGTTCAACAAACTCACAGTAGAAACAGCATTATTAAAAAACAATCAAAACAAAAACATACAGTATATTTGCCTAGTTTAACAAACAGAATTACTTTATTAATTATAGATTTCTTAAGATTTAATTTAAAACAGACAGGATTTTGAATAAATCTCATATTCTGTGCCAACATATTCCACAGAAAGATGGCAAGGTACATAAATGTGTTTTTTATGCACTAGTTCTTAGAAGAGGCAGAGTAAAGGTCAGATTAACAGCTTCTCTTGTATTAAGGATCTGTCTCCTGTAAGTAGGTTTTAGTTTAGAGAAGAGGCTGAGGGGTTTGTGTTAAGTCCAGATTTTATGAAGAAACACCAAAGAACAACAACCAAGGTTTATTTGACTTTCATTCATGAACCTCTGTGATGCAAGACATCAACATCAGTTCGAAATGTATATCCCAGAGCCAGTCCTGCTGTCTGATTCTGAGCTATCTGGAGTCTGCTGATGTCTTTTTGAGCAGCATTTGAACAGATAATAGAGCAATAGTCCAACTTACAAAGAAAAATTAAAGACTGTATTACAATTTACCTTGTTTTGATTGACATATAATTGGCATTGCCTCTAATTAATAAGATGTTCCTGCTCATTTTAGTCACAATATTATTAATATGTGAAGACCAGGACATTGTTTGATCTAAAGTAACACCCAATAGTTTAATTTCAGTCACCTGCTCGATAGATTAGTGATTTAAAGTCAGATTTAACATTGGTGCATCTCTCACGGCATGTTTAGAGCCTAACTTCATACACTTTCAGTTTTAACCTGTCCTGCACTACCCACACATGCACCAATTCTAGTTCTTGTTGTAGAATATTATTAACCTGATAATGATCTGATGATGAATCTTATAAAGTTGTGTCATCTGCATAGACTGTCATACAGGCCTAATGTTCACTTTGTCCAGATAGTACGCTTTGAAGTAGTTTGCAATATCCAAATGTTTGGTAATAAATGATCCATCCACCTCAATAAAGGAACGTGTTTTATTCACTTTCCTTCGACCCATAATCACATTTATTAGCTGCCATGCCAGTTTACTGTTATTCCCATATTCTTTATATTTAATTTGATAGTATTTCTTTTTTTTTTTTGCCTTTTGATTTTGGTTACTTTATTCCTGTTTGATTTGTATGCTTTTCAATCTGCAGAATTGCAAGACAGAACAGAAGCTTTTTTCATACTATCCCTTTCACGCATTAACCTCTTCAAATCCTCATCCAACCATTGACACCTGATGGAATTCACAGAAAATTTTGTTATTGGGGTGTGTTGATCACACACTGCTGAAAAGTAGTAGAATTTTTCTTCATTGCGAGATCAATAAAGTCAAACAATTAATCAATCATTCAATGGAAAACAATTGGAAAAATATATTAAATGCCTCATCTGCCTGTGTGCTCTGTAACACCATATCTTACTGTACATTTTCCATGTCACTGATAAAGTCTGCGTCAGAAAAAGATTTATACATTCTCTTATAAATTACAGTAGGTCCCACCTTTGGTACTTTGACTTTAAAAAGCAAAGCAATTATGTTGTGATCACTAAGCCATCTGGTTCTGAAATAATATTAAAACATTTTTCTTTACAATTTGTAATGATATGATCTATACATGAGGATATTGTCACCCTGTGTCTGTTGGTCTTAAATTTTTCCTCGTGGGTAAATTCACTATCTGAGCAAGATTGCATACAGTGATTGTGTTGCTCAGAGTGGCCTTCACCGTACAATAATCAGAAAGTCCATCAATATTCATATTGGCAAGAATAAACATTTCATTATTTGTATCAACAGCTTTCTGTATCATTGTACATATATGATTCAGCTGTTCGAGGTTACCACTTGGTTGTCTGTACATACAAACAGAATAAGTTTGCGATATGGAAGATGCACTTGAAGCCAGAGGGCTTTTATGCCAGACCTCCACAGGTCCCTTCAGATTTAACAGGAATTTGACTTAGAATATAAAATGCAGTTCCTCCTCCAAATCTATTTTTGTCAAGTCTAAATAAATTGTATCCATCAATCAACAAAGTATTCTCATCTATAATTTGATCTAAGTGTGTTTCTGTAACAGCCAGTATGTGAATATTGGATTGAAATAATATTGAGGACAATTCACTAATTTGTACTTTAAGCTATAGATGTTCAATAAATAAATGTTTATTCCTTTGATGGTAAATGTAAATGCCATTTAATAACCTAAGTGGAAGATTCTAGATAGCAACAAATGTTTGGATTTTTGCATATGCATTTACCAACATTGGGACTTCATTTGTTGTTACACAGCTTTTCCCACTGTTCTGAACCGCAAGGAGAGAAAATCTGCAATAAGACTGCTTTGAGCAAAGAGGATGGAGCAGTCTGTCTCTTAAGGAGCCCTCTAGTGCTGCAATTGCGTGATGCATGATTTTTGCACAAAATACTTTTTGTGCAAAAATCTGCCTTTTAAGCTGCCTTAAAACAGAGTAACAAAGTAGGATCCTCTTTGTATTAAATACATCTAAATATACCAAGGGTATTAGCTTCATTGTTCAGTTGTTTAGAAATATTATTACAACATTAAATTGTATTTAAGAACCTTCTTGATTGTGATAGAATAATTTTATTAATGTCCTTTGAAGGGCTGGTCAAATATCAGTCATACCAAAAATTTGTTTCTGTTCATTAAATTTATGAGGGCTTAAAAATCACATATTTAGTTTGATAACATATGAATAAACTTCAATTAATGATTCCTTTTTTGCTTTGAGTTTGGAAAATACTAAGACATATACCTAAAGAGGAATCTTGCTGTTCTTTAATTTTTGTTTTGGATTTGCAAATTGCATGTATCCTTTTGATAGCAGAACCACACAAGACAGATGGAATTAAAAGGCTTAGTGCGCATTATTATGCCATGGGCCATGCATTAACGCTCTGCTGGTCAAAATATATCAAGCCAGTTAATTTGTCTTATACTCTTTTTAAAGTCCAAAGCTCTTATTGCTATTTATGACAAAATAAAGCTGAAGAGTGGTGAGGACATTGATGCTACAAAAGCACAATCTATTTAGTGATTACCATATCTCAAAATATTTCGATTCTCTATTTTTGTGGCTTTGCGCAGACCTAATTGGATTCACACGAACTCAATCACCAATAACAGTAGCTCAAACACTCTTTAAAGAAAGGTTTGTTTTGTTGGATATTCCTTCTGAAAAAAAATTCTTGCATCTCTTTCAGGGCTTCCCAGTGATCTTCCATGGGGTTAAAGGTCTTGAAACCCGCGAGTCCAGCAGCCCCTCATTCTTTAATGTTGC